GCCTGGCCGCGGCCGAGCCTGAGGCGGGCCGGCGCTGGAGGGTCTGCCGGCCGGCACCCCGCCGCCCACCCCGGCTTCCCAGCAAAGCATCCCGTCCCCACGCCGTCCCGGGTGCCGCCGCCGCCCCGCACCGCCGCCTCGGCAGGTGTGTGCTGCCTTGGCTTACGGGCCGCTTCCCCTCTGAAACTTCTCGACTTTCTCTTCTTGCTAATAAAACACGGCGCTTGAACTGTCAAAAAACTGAGCGAATTCTTTGAAGCAGAGCAAGTTTTAAAAATCTGGGGAGAATACAGAAGTTTTAAGGTCCCACAGGCTCTTCGTGTTTCACTAGAAGTGTAAGGAAACAACGTGCCGCTACGAAACGATGACCCTACCGTGCATTTCACCTTATTAAGTTTTAATAGGCAGGCCTGAATACCTGAAAAAAAAAATGACTGAAGTTTAAATTGCGAGTGTAACGTTACATTAATGCAATGTTGTAGGTCAGTGAGATGAAAGGTGTGGTTCTCGTAATTATCACGATGCCTAGTATGAGGTAACAAAACCACATACCACAGAACCCTCTAATTTATGACTCGACGTGGTGCAAGGATACTGTTGTGATATTGTTGGGTGGTTTGGTTTTTTTTTTAATCTCAGTTTCTTAGATTTTCCTCTGCCGTGCATCACATTATGGGGAAACAGTTTCCCAAAATGAAAGTTTATAAGTCATCTTGCGTGTCCCTTGAGTGGATTATCAGCCCCGAGGTGCCACAGCCCACAGAGTGTCAGGCAAGATATAGTCCAGCCCGTGCGGTCCGTGCGTTGCTCTTTAATCCCAGATCACTGTGTCTTAGACTTCTCCGCAGAGAAAAGGCCTATATGCTGAAATACTGTAATTTCTTATTAATTGTATATTTAATCCTGTGGCTAGTATTCTTTTTTTTTTTTTCCTATCTCAAAATCAAGATATTATTACAGCTTGGGCACACACATATTTAAGTGAGTGTCACGTGGCCGACACTTGCAGGGCTGGGAACCGAAGCTTTGCACATGCGATGTCCCACACGCAGCTGCTCGAGTACAAACCGGTGGAGAACGATGAAAGGTTGCTCGTGCTTCATCTTTAATGCTTCACCTCACAGTGACAGCGTGCTGAACTTGACCTGCTTGTGAATAGAAGATGGGGGCGTGTTTATGTTACTCACCTGTATCAAACACTGGAAAAATCAGGAGGGAGTTGCACCGGTGACACCGCGTATGGATCCCAGATCTCACGTGGAGGCTCAGCTGTACGGTTTGGTGCTCGTGAGGGGCTCCCGGCACAGCCCGAAGGAAGAGAATCTACGAAAACCACCAGATAAACGCTCAGCAAAAAAGTGATTAACTTTTCTGGAGGCAGATGGGAAATAAAGAAATAAATGTCTGAATAGGAGCTTATGTTAGAATCAATTTCTCAAGTCATTCAGCAAACATAGAACACTGATGCGAAGTGTTGAATGTTTCCTGCCATGCAGATCTAGAAACGTGTGCTGAAATTTGTCGTGTTAAAAATTGTAGTTTTTGGCATAGGGAGTGAAGAGTAACGGGCCGTATAAAACATACATCACTTTGGACATTCGGCGCGTGCTGCAGGAATAAAGAAAACTTGATTGAGTTTACTTGCCATTATTAGTTTAAACTGAAGTGGGCGATTGCCGGGCAGCCGGCGTTAGAGCGCAGATAACGAACTTCACGCTGCACAGGGCTCTGTGCGGGGAGGCACGTGTGCCCCGGGCTCCCGTGCTCTGGCTGCTGTGGTGCTGCTGCTCTGCCGTGTTTCACAGTGGGGGGGTCCATAATCGTTCATGTTATCAGGGGAGAGCTGGTAAGAATTTGGCCGTTATTCAGAACTGTGTTGTGTTTCTGAAAAAGTGGGAACAAATACTGATCAAAGGATCTTTTTTTTGGTCAACCTCACCAATAAAACTCAATTTAGTATAAGGGAACACTGGTGTGGCGTTCTGGGGACAGAATACATTTGGTTTCTGAGGGCTTCTGTAGTGGGTTTCCTTACTCATAACATAACATAAATGAATAATCATACGGTAATGAAATAATTCAGTGTACAGTGGTTTGGTTTTTTTCTCCTGTGTCTTAGTGGCCACCTGATACTTTTTCAAGTAACTGGCAATTTATCACTGCAGATAACCTGGGAGACTTGGGCCTGTTGGATGAAATCCTCAGCTCTGAGATGGTGCTACCTGCCCATCAGCATCCCAGCTGCTTTTTGGGGGTTTGCATTTAAGTATTCGTGGACTTCTGAAGAGTGAGGCCAGCTCGGGAGCACGGCTCTGGGGTCTTTCAGAAGACCTCACCAGTGTCCTCTGCAACGAGATCACATTCTGCAGGAGGAACTCTTTAAGTCTGAAGCAATGCTATGAAGCAGACTGTATTCACATTTTCTGTGGCTCACAGCTGAAAATAGACATTGATTTTAAGCTGCTGATTAGTAAATGCTTCTCGGTGAGCTTTTCCTACCAGCACGTTGTCCAAGCAACCTGAAGTGCAAGTGTGCTGAGAAGGGGGGGGTTAGTCTGCCTTGCTAGGCCATCTCCCTGCTTCTTGCTTTTGGCTGCTCAGATCTCTTACAGGTAGTTTGCTTGACTTTTCTGATGTCTCTAGTCTGGGAGCAAAAGGCCTAATTTATTGCTATTTGCCAGGTTCACACTGTGGAGTGGAATTGACTTAATCTGGTCAATTCCCCAGAGTACTGTCAAGACAGGAGGAAAAAAATAGCCCAGCCCACCCCAAAATCCACCAAGCCCCACCTGCTGGGTATTCAGCTGTGGCAACATGGCAAATTTTATGGCTTTTCTGCAGTCCTGATGGCGTCTTTGGCTGTGATGTTAGGAATGGCACCTCTGGTTCCTCAGAGCGTTTCTGAAATTACATTTAACTCTCAACTTGGTGTAGGAACTTTTCTGGGGCATTTTCAGCTGTTCATACAAGTCCAGAGGGTCACACACTTTGGTTTCTGGGGTTTTTTTTGGGGGTGGGGGTGGTGGTGTCTCCCCCCCACCTGTTGATTTGATTCTTCCTCAATCTACCCATACTTGAACTGCATCCTTTAGAGTGGGAGGGGGTCAAGTAGCTCCTTAACTCTAGTTGCCAACACAAAGTTCACTCAGATGCTGAAAAGCCAATATTGAAACTGAATCTCATAATTGGATTTTGACCGCATTGATTTAATTTTTTGCTTTGTATTTATGGTTGAAGATTATTTCTAATCACGTGTGCAGGTGAGGCTGTTGCTTGTATGAGCCACCGTGCATTCATGGGGCTCACGGTGAGTGCCGACGTGCCATACACACATGTCTAGCTGTGTAACTTATTGGAGCAGTCCTGCTTCTCTGCAGGCTCATTGAGGGTTGGGGAAATGGGTGTGAATGACGTGAGT